TATGATGCTGTTAAATTGCTGCTAGCCAACAAACAAGGATTGAAGCAGAATATTATTTAGATAATATATATATATATATATATATATTATAAAAAATTTGTTTTTTTTTAAAATAAATTTGGATTTTAGGGCTTTATATCGCATTGGAAACGTCTGGATCACACAAGACGGGAATAGTCCTACACAAGCCCTGAAATGTATTTCTACTTATGGTATAATGCTGCAACTAACGATTATTTTATTGATTAATCTGTTGATTGTTATCTCAATTAATCAATTAGTTGTTTGGTCCATAAAATGTCAGAAAATATATTAGTAGTGTGGCCGAATGTTTATCTGCAATAGTAAAGAAATACCAAAACAGAATGAATAACCGTGAAAAAACAGATAAATGGCTGAGCAGCATTTCAATGTTGGTGAATGAATGAAGTTTTAGAATTCAAATTAATGAAGCTGGGAATTATTCGGTACAGCCCTAACAGTTTCTGGCTCCACTTGCTCTCTGCTTGTACATTTGGCTATCCTAACAAGTCCAGTCCCTTACAGACCTACTCTGTGGCTGCGCTCAGGACTGTAAAAATCTTCCTTGTGATTTCATCTCCACACCAACATTACATGAGGTCAAGGGGGAGCAAATTCAAACTCGGCCTGGAGCTCATCTCTGTGTCACATGAACGGCTGCCTCAACTTCAGTCATAGTGGTCCCTATCAAGCTAGTCAGCAGCCTTCTTGCAGTTTTCTTTGGCTAGTCTCAGTCTGGACAGGATGTGTTTCTTAGGGAACTTTAAAGTGGTACACCCAAACTGGCTCACCCCTCCAGTGTCTCCTGGGAGTTTCTCACGTCTCTGGACCCAGCTGCGCCAGCCGGGCTTCCAACAGTAAACACTGTCATAGAACCGTGAGCCGTTTTCCCCACCCAGCACATAAATCCTGCGTTTCCACCTCGCCACACCACCAGCTGCGATCCGCCGCGGCAGCCCGGGAAATACCACAGGGCTCGGGGCTCGGTCGCTTCCACCACCTGCTGCCCCCCGCTGCTCCGCGGTGACCATCACCCCACCTCCAGTCACCTCCCTCTCTACTCCAGACCCCCTGCCCTCTCTGAAAAACAGCACACGCCCAGTGGCGTCTAAAGTCTCCAGATTGGTGTAGTTTCCATCCAGGAACTTGGTAGTATCCCTCATGTATCCCCCAATGGCACAGACTCCTCCACGCACTGCTACTCCTCCTGCAAGGCAAGTGGCGCCAGAGTCCAGAGCCACACGTGTCCAGCAGTCTGTTAGGGTGTGATAAATAAGCACTCCCGAGTGGACCACAGCCCGATTCTGTTCAAGTGTGGTTCCACCCAGAAGGTAAAGCCGTCCACGTAACGCTGCGCAGGCGAAGGCGCGCAGAGGGAGTGGTAGCCGAGGCCCCGGAGCCCACTGAAGCGTAGTCAGCTCCAGGGTCTCACTGGAGTCCAGCAGAGCTGAGCGGTTACTACCGCCCAAGGCATAGAGTGACTCTCCACAGCCCAGCAGGCCTAGCATAGCCCGGGGTTGGACCATCGAGGGCCGCTCTATCCAGAGGTCCAACACTGCATCGTATTCGTGCACGGCTGCAGACACAGAGCCCGTCCGCAGGATTCCCCCCGCTACAAACAGCCGGTCGCCTACAGCCGTACAGCCGGGACTGACCAGTGAACCCAGTGCAGCTAACTTCTCCCACTTCCCTGTCCGAGGATCAAAGCAGTCCACTGTGTAGTCTCTCGCAGCTAAATTCTCATCTTCCCGAGGCGTCAGGTCCACACAGACGATCTTTTTCTCAAACATGCCCTCCCGTGGTCTCAGAGGCCCCCCTAGGCCCTCACCAGCTGCAGCGGGCCCCAACTCCTGGCTCAGTCTTCGGCTCTCTTCCTGGGACAGCAGCCCCGGCCGCAGGTGGTGAAGCAGTGCCGGCATGTGGGCGTAGCGATCCAAGGGCTGGTGCTCTGCCCATCGGCGCGCCGCGTCGTAAACCTCCGCTTCGGAGTCCACCCCCAGACGGTCAGAGCTCAGGAGGCTGCCTAAGGTGCCGTGGTCCAGCAGGAGGAAGTCTTTCTGCCGGGCCACCCGGGGGAAGTGCTGGGCTACGAGCCGCAGGGACGCTCGCAGTAGCAGCTGGTCATGGTGAGAGCGAGCCAAAGAGTACATCCCCAGGCAGTTATCCACTGAGAGGTGCTCAAATAGAAACCTGAAGTGAAAGGAGTAGAGAAAATGACAAACAGAGGGGGGCAGAAGAAAAGAGGAAATAAGACAACAGGGTTTAAAAACCACAATACGGAAGCTGGTTTGTTCAATAAAACCTAATGTCAAAGTAAAAATATAGCCACCTGAATTGTAAAGTCTAATGACTGAGGCAGATTTACCTGGAGCATAAGTCTTGAAGAGGCATGACCTGAAGCCGGTTGGCCGCCACAAACAGATCCTCAGCTGTGTCCAAAGAGAGCCCTGCCTCACCGGTGTACACAAACTGGATGACAGTCTCCATGACAGATGGCGTCACTTCCTCCAGTCGGATCTCAGTGAGGCGGGACTCAACCAGGGGACTGGTGAACATGGCCCGAAAATACGGGCTCACGGCTGCCAAGAGGACTCTGAGGGGACAGAAGGTAGAAGAGAACTGTTCAAACCAATGCATTTTTTATAATAGGCGGTAAAGTGATGAAGAAAATGTATAAATGCTTTATGGTATTTATCAAGTAAAAAGCTTCAATATTTTGTGATTAAAGTTTAAAATGTTCTCACTTCTATACAATTGTGAACAGAATACAAGACAGGAGTACAATTTTGATCAATAAAAACATAATTTAATGATGTATGTGTGAGCTACAGCCACAGCTGAAATTCTCTTGGTGATGTCTGAACAACACCATTAATGAATGGACTGTTGTCTCTATCAGCTTCTTTGTTGGATGTGGCAGTCAAACCTGTGACACATGAACTTCTTCCCCTCAACAAGTAGCGTAACGTCACACAGCTGCTGAGCATCGAGGAGCTGCTTCAATCCTAAAACACAGCAGAGAGAGGACGGAGAGAGGAGAGGAGAGAGAGGACGGAGAGAGAGGACGGAGAGAGAGGAGAGGAGAGAGGAGAGGAGAGAGGAGAAGGCGAAGGAGGGATGGATGAGTAAGAGTTGGACAGAGCAGAAGGGACAGGAATAGAGTCAGAAAAGCAGAGAAAGATAAAGTTTGGGAAGACAGGTGAAACTAAATGAGTCACACTAATGTTACACGGGCTGGTTTCCAACTTCCCAAGACCACCCTCTCTACCCTCTCATCATGTCCCTGTCTCACCATGCGTGATGTAGTCTCCCAGCGGTGTGGTGCTGTCGTCGGGGAAGTCCTCCTCCTCCGAGTCGCTGTCTGACAGAGGTTCTCCTCCTCCCCCGTCCCCATCCTGCCACGGCTGGGGACGCCAGGTGACTGTGCCCCCCCGCACAGCATTCATCTGTGGTACAGCGCGCGCACACACACACACACACACACGCACACACAGTTAGGCCAGATAATAGACCGTTTTTCACAGCAGCCATTTGCACATGAAACAGTAGGGTAAACACAGGCGTTACCAATGACACTAATTAAGGCTCTGTTCCATTTAGTGTAGGGGAGCCTTTCCAGGTGAGCCAGCGTGCACAGTAGCAGCACCCTGACCTGTTTGACTGAATGGAACAAAGCCTTAATTAGTATCTCCTGTGTTTACACTATTTAATGCCAAAATGGCTGCTGTGAAAAAGGTCCATTACACACATGCATATGGGCTTTAGACTTTATCCTTTATGCATGCAGGGCAGGCCAATGTATTATAGATAGAGGCCCGAAACAGATATGACCCAGATAACAGCTATCTCTGTAAAAACGTGGTTTCCAGACAAAGTTCATGATGCAGCTTGGTTTTAAGCTCAATCAATATTGTTTGTTACTGATTTGCTCCATCAGCTTGTTGCAGAATGCTTGCATTTTCACTTTACCAGCAGGATGAGTGTCTTCATAAAATAGTGGCTATAATAGATCACAAACACACACAGCTGTTGTGGCATCGCTTTGCCGGGAAGACGCTGAATGTTTAGCGTACACTACCTTTGCTCTTCTTCTCGTTTCCACCGTGAAGGCTGGTGGGGTCTCACTTTCAGCAGGAATTGGTGAAGCAGTCTTGGGGCAGCCTAACCGTATCCAAGTACCCGGTTATGACCAGAGGCTTCGACAGGCTTTCCTCGCTCCCATCTGGGTGAGCTGGTCCTCCGGGCTCAGCTGAAAGGCTCGTCCCGGCCTGTGGAGAAGACGCGTCAGGCTACTCGCTGCTCATCCAGCCCCGAGCACAACATCTCTACTAACTGACGGACCAAACTAGCTCACAAAGGGACCAATTCTCCCGCGGCACGAAAGCTCCTCTTCGTAACAAATATCAGTCCACCATGGCATTATGCACACGCAGCCAGCTCGGTGGTAGGACAGGGAAGAGTGTAGTTTTTAGGGGCTACAGGGGAGGAAAATAAAGACTGAGTTCAGGTTCAGTCGGCCGCACTTGTCACGTCTGAACCGGATTACCGCAACGTTAAACTTCCGCTCATCTGATTGGCTGACCTTTGGCTCGTGACGATTGTTTGGGGTTGAGTCTTTTTCTGTCAATGGACATTTTTTAATATTTTATGCTCCGTCTTTGACATTATGCCACGATAGTCGCGTGAAACAGCGGCTATGCTTTTAGGATAACATTTAAAGTCAGTTTATTCGTTTTATTTTGTTTCCAGCCCCGAAATACTAATTTCCGCATTCATGCTGCATTGAAGGCACATACGAGCGTTTTACAGCAGGTGGTGAGTGCTCTCTGGTTTCATCAGGCGCTTAATGGAGACACGCTAATAAATATAAATGGTCACAGTTATAACAATATACTGTGCTTTTATTTAAGTGATAATATCCAAACATTTCTTTTTGAAGTGATTGGAGCGAAAGCTGACCGAGAGTCTACCCATAGTACCGATTATTCCTATACCCCGTGAATGCAACATTGACCACAAGACGAACATGGCGACCTGCAGCATGTTCGTGAGACTTGGAGGCACTGCTCTGGCTGTGTTAAAGCCGGTAGCCACACAATGTTCAAGGCACAGGACGAGAGTCTTTATCCCGCACCGCTTTTCGCACGGAACCTGGAGCAGTCTGTACGAGCATGTCTGTCTAGGTTACAGTGACAAGCCCGAGCTGGACATGAGAGAAGTGATTGAGGAGACCGACAAAGTCATACTAAATGTAGAGAACAGGAAGGGTGAGCTGCGGGGGGAAGATGTCAGGAAAATGGTAAGTGTTCGTTTGGCTACAAAGTATGAGACGTGAAACCTCTGTGTGAAATACCCCTCTGTAAAGCTATAAACAAAAACATGGTATTCACTCTTCAACTAATATATTCAAATTCTTTATTGTACCAAATCTTTTTTTACCAAAATAATTTGCACACTGAAGTACACTAAGCTAATATTGAAATTGAAGACCCACTCCTGATATTTATTAACACATATTAAAACACTTTTTTTGAATAAAAATTTGTAGGTGATGTTTATTTACCTGAAAGTCAGTCATGTCAGAGATTCTAATTTAAGTCCAGATCAAAACGTTTCCAAACATAACATCTATGGTCATGCAGACTGAAATGGATATTATGTACAAGACATTTGCAATGAAGTACTCATAAAAAGATGGTAGCTTAAGTTGGAATAATAACTATTATCACAATATCCATTTATATTGTTCCAACAACTTTACTGTTCCTTCACATTGACACAGTTTGTCAGTAGCTCTTGATATACTTACTGTAAATACTGTATATATACAGTGCATCATTATATTGAAACACATGCATAGGAAGATAAAATAGACATAGATGCTAAAGCAAGATAAGCAAACAAACAAAGCTATTATAAGCATTAAAGCATTGTCACGAAATGTGGAAAAATGCAATCTAAGTGGAAAGTTAGGGAACATTTAGGAGTTTAAATTGAATGAGTTTTCTGTTGGCCTTTCATTTGATCTCATTGATCGTGTGTGTGTGTCCACATTGTAGGTATGTGTGTGGCAGGAGCTGCAGGCCGTGAGGACTGAAATCTCTGGACTGGAGGAGGAGAAGAAACGCATCAGTGAAACAGTCAAAGCACTAGTGGTCAGTAAAGGTTATTACAACACCAGTTTTCTGATTAATGTTGTTTGGGTTGATTCTTACTTAAGGTTTGCTTAATCCTTTTCTCTCATTTGAAGTCTCATCCATAATTATGACATAAATCATCTTTTCCTCACAGATCAAGAACGACAAGAAAGCCCTCGCCAATGTAAGTTCAACTTTGGCACTTCAGAATTCAAATTCTTTCATTCTTTGTTATTAAATCCGTCTCTCTGTCCACGGTAAATCAGATTTGGGACCACTTCTGACTCCTTGTTGTTCATCACGCAGTTTCCAGAGTACACCCAGGCTCTGCAGAGGGGTCGAGAGATCCGCATAAGACTGAATGAAATTTACCCCAAAGACACTGAGCTGGATCAGGAATACTACCGTCAAGCACTCAGACTGCCAAACACCACACACCCTGATGTGGTGAGGATACACAAACACACACACTTACTTTGTCCAGAGCATCTGGGGAGAGATTTTCTGTGACGTGTGTCCTTTTAAATTAAGTGTAGTTTGAAACTTCCTAAAGTTCCTGTTTTTTTTCCCCTTTTTCAGCCCGTTGGAGATGAGAGCCAGGTGAGGGTGGTGGAGCTGGTTGGAGAGAAACCAGGTGACTTATGCGATCTATGCCATTGTTTATCTAAAGTGCCACATCAGTAATAACCTAAAGTGCTTTACCCTTGTGTGTTTAAATATGCAAATCTCATAATCTGCTCTCTCTCTCTCTCTCTCTCTGCTGTAGAGTTTGACTTCAAGCCCAGAGGCCATATAGAGCTGGGGGAGGAGTTGGGTCTCATCAGGCAGAGGTGAGGATGATGTTTGTTACACTTGATATTCCACTTGTTCTTCTACTATACAACTATACTCTCTTAAAGCTTTTGCTCATATGATGGAAAGCTGAGGAAAGGAGATGAGCAATGGCGTTTTGTATGAATATGTAAATACCTAATATTTGTCTAATGTTAAGTCTTATAATTATGATGATTTCTTTTGCTTGATAATTAAGAAAACGGAAATATTTTAAGCCTGAGCTGTATAATAATGTATAATCTCAAATTTTGAAATAAAATATTTGATCATTGGTCTTGAGGGTTGAGCACTTTGTGTGCATGACACAAAAATAAATCTGACCTTATTGATATGAACAGGCATCATTACACTTTTATAATATACGTACCTCTGTGCTCTCCTGCAGACATCTAGCTCACATCTCAGGCCACAGGTCCTACTATCTCAGAGGAGCGGGGGCCAGACTTCAGATTGCACTACAAAACTTTGCCCTTGACACACTGCAGCAACGAGTAAGCATGCGTCTGGAAATATTAAATATAATGTCTGCAAAATGAATGTAGATTATATTCAGTTCTTATATGAAACTTTCCTTTTGACTCCTACAGGGCTTCATTCCCATGGTTGTACCTGACATGATGAAGACGGTAGTATTTGTGAGTAGCAGAACTCTGTGCCTTTCTAACATACCCGATTTTAGATAATACACGTAATATCTAAAAATAAGATTTGAATGGACATTGATTAAATATCAATTAATATGTAGCAACATTATTATAGTACAATTGAACTTTCTGTAGTTATGACGACAACCTCTCCTCTCGTCTCTTCCTCATTTTGTTTCCACCGCCTCCAGGAGGGTTGTGGGATGCAGCCAATCGCCAATCGCGCTCAGGTCTATTCACTGGACCAGGCCCGTTTCCCAGACCTCAACCTGGCTGGGACTGGAGAGATTGGGGTGGCAGGTAAAACTTTATTCTTCACTATGTGTTGCAGTCATGATGAGTTTTTAATTTCCTTGTAGCAATAAATGACCCATACAGTTGTTTATCAGTACCAGTGAACACACACACACTTTACTTTTGTCTCTAATTAGACTTTTTCTGTACAGACTGAGCTTGATTGACCTTCTGAACCTCGTATTAGCTGTGTTGCGCCTATCATACTCTACTGTGTATATTTGTTTTGAGGCAGCATGATTTGTTATATTGCTCTGCTATAGAGAGTGTAATAACTGAGAAGTAGTGACCATCTGTTTGTCGGCCCGTTACGCTCGAGATGAATATTTTTCAGTTGATCAGTCCTAGCTTTTGACCTGTTGTGCTTGAACTAATGGGTGTATCTCGCTATCAGTCAATACATCAATACAACTGACAATAGTCCTGTTTCTTACTAGCAAGACTAGCTATTGTACTTGGCTATAATCTGTATTCTGTAACAATATGTTGCTGATGGTGATCTAAGCAACATGTGCCCATCTAGTTGAGTTGTGTCACGCTCGTGTTATTTGTGCTGTTGTAAGCAGTTGTCACCAAAAAACCTCACCGGTTTAACAGATTTGTTGCATTACTGTTCTGTAATTAGATTTCATACTCAACTCCTTCAGAATTGTAATAAGTGCCTTTTGTTTTTATCAGAAATCTTGAATCCAACAACTCACACAATCAATGTTTACAGCTAATAAGAGGCTTTGACACAGATCGTATATGAGAACTGGAAAACCCAGTAGTTATGTGACATGTCTCTCTCGCCTTCAGGCTATTTCATGGATCATGCAGTAAACTGGAAGGACCTCCCTGTCAGGTTAGTTACCTCTCACTCATGGTGTGCTACAGACTGTTACAGATCAGTGTTGTACTGGAGTAATTACAGCTGACATGATGTATCCCTTGCTGCTGTAGGACGGTGTGCAGCAGCACCTGCTACAGAGCAGAGACAGAGACGGGCAGAGAGCCATGGGGGCTCTACAGAGTACATCACTTCAACAAGGTTAAAAGGACAACTACATGATGTTAGGGACACAGGAGTGGAAAAGTGCCCACTGTACATACAGGGCATTCACATTCGCAAATGTGTTAAGGAAATGATTTGTTAGCTGATGACAAGTGATGGCAAATAATTTTTTAAGATTAAAAACAAGTACCTGCTCTATGATTATGCTAATGAGCTTTATTTGTAATTAACTGTAATTATCGTGTGTGTGTGTTCAGGTAGAGATGTTTGGAGTGACAGCAGATGAGACGGGAGTAGAGAGCTCCCAGCTGCTGAAGGAGTTTGTGTCTTTGCAGAAAGAGATGTTTTCTGCACTGGAACTACATTACAGGTTAGTACACACATGCAACACGCGCACACACACACACACACACACACAGTGGAAGTGGAAGTTATTTTATACATCCACTCAATCTGATAATATAATTAGCATATTTGTGTGGGTTCTAATATATAACCTAAACTGTTTGTGTGTGTTTTCACACAGAGTGCTGGACATGCCCACAGAGGAGCTTGGTCTTTCAGCACACAGGAAGTATGACATTGAAGCATGGATGCCTGGGAGGAACAGCTATGGAGAGGTCAGTCTCATTATATCACTGTTAACAAATTACAGATGCACAAGAAATGACTGGGTGTCAACTAATATATCTGCTGATTATGACTTGTGTAAAGATGTTCCTTTGTGATAATATATGCTGCAGGGTGTGCATGGACAGACACACTAACAGAGTCACTAGTGACTCTCTTCCCTTGTCAGTCAAAAATCTCAGTCCCTTCTCATCCTTCCTATAAACACCTGAAGTTGTTTAAGAAAAAACTAAAAATATGACATTCCTCTGTACAGCTCCTGTGTAACCAACTTAATATTTTGTTGCCAAACAATTGCCTTCCCTGGTTGAAAAGTACATTTTTAAGTCGTGTATTTAATTCATTATCTCCTATATAAATAATAGTGAGCAGATTGTGTAGATTGCAGGGCCACAGCCTTGGTTGAGTATAATGTAGCATTAAGGTTGTAAAAACGCTACAGTGCTGCACAAGAAGTTGGGAGAAAAAAAACAGTACTGCTGTAAAACTGTATAACTTGTGTTCAACAAATAAAAAATGATACTATGATCTAATAAGAAGATGGAGTATTGTTGCTGATGGTTTTGACTAAGTTCTCTCCTCTCTACACATGATGTATGCATCAGATTTCCAGTGGGTCCAACTGTACAGACTACCAAAGCAGACGCCTCAACATTGTGTATGAGAGAGAGGACGGCAGCCTGCAGTACGCTCACACAGTAAGACTGCAGATGAGGCGGCTGTATATTCCAGCTGTTTACTGGAGCAGCAGCACACCACCTCCAACACGTGTGTTTTTATTTTAACTCTAGGTGAATGCAACAGCATGTGCCATCCCCCGAACCATCATCGCTATCCTGGAGACTCACCAGACAAAAGTAAGACACAAACATAAAGGCCCACTTCACACATTGAGGGAAAACCTGGAATTCTTTAATGCAGGTTTCCGTTCATTGAATTGTTCTGGAAAATGACGTTAAGTTATTTAAGTTATTCTTCAGGAATCCCCATAGGGAAATTCATTCTCTTCGTTTGACCCATCCTAAGTACTAGAAGCAGTGGGCAGCCACTGTGAGGCGCCCGGGGACCAACTTCAGATCCAAGCAGGTGCCTTGGTCAGAGGCACTGAGTGGAGAATTGACCTTATTGAACTATGTGTTTTGTTGGTGGAGGAAACCCATGCTAACTCCACACAGAAAGGCACAGAGTTGTCTTGAAAAGGTTTTAATGACAACAAAATGATGTTCTATGAACCATAATAAGCATCACAAGGCCTCAGATTGAATTTTTGTCTGATGCCTTAGATGTGTAGTTTTTATGCATACTGTATATCCAGCTGACAATCACTGAAAAAAGCTGAGGATCATCACTATATATTATACAGTATATCAGTGGCTAAAACAGATCCAAATTCTTGCTTTTAAAGACCAAGTGTTGATGCAAATGTGTAAAATATGTGAACCTTCTTTTGAAAAATAGCAGAGTAGGTTAGTCCTCTCTTTTCTTTCTCTTCCAACTCTGCGTGACCTTGCCCACCTTCCATTATGCTACACGTGTAACTCTTAGCACGCACCTGTGTGCAAACTGTGGTGTTGAAGTGGCTCCCCCTAGTGATTGTTGTCAGTCAAAACATTTTTATACAGTTTCTATACAAACTCTTTTGAATTTTATTGGAAATGCTGAAATAATAATAAATAAATAATACTGCAGTTTTC